ACAGCCGTCAACGGGCAAAACACCGGAGAATGTGGCGAAAATTAGGGAACTCATTCTGCAAGATCATAGACTGACCATCCAAGACCTCTGCGACACCTTGGGACTAAGTTATGGTACATGTCAACGAATTTTGTCAGAGGAAATGAACATGAGGAGGATTGCGGCGAAATTTGTACCACGACTGCTGCAAAATGAACAGAAGCAGCATCGCTTGGAAGTCTACAGGGAACTTCAACAGCTTCAAGAGGATCCAGGCTTTCTTTCGAAGGTTGTCACTGATGACGAAAGTTGGGTTTATGGCTACGACCCTGAAAGCAAGCAGCAATCGTCGCAATGGAAGAGCCCTTCTTCACCTTGGCCAAAAGAAGCTCGACAAGTCAAGAGCAACATTAAGTCCATGTTGATCTGTTTTTTTGATATTGATGGGATTGTTCATAAGGGGAGAATATGAGGAGAAAACGTCCAGAGAAGTGGCGCACAAACAACTGGGTACTCCACCGTGACAACACGTGACCGCATACGGCTTACATTGTGCAGGAATTTTCGGCTAAAGACAAGATGGCAGTTGTTCCCCACCCACCGTACTCGCCAGACTTAGCTCCATGCGACTTCTTTCTCTTCCCCAAGATGAAAATCAAGTTGAAGGGGCGAAGATTTGATACAGTTGAGGAAATTCAAGTGGAAACGCAAACGATATTAAACACCCTAACAAAGAAAGACTTCCAGGATGCATTTGAGAAGTGGCAGAAATGCTGGGATCGGTGTATGCGCTCCCAAGGGGACTACTTTGAAGGTGATGGTGCAGAATAAGATCTAGGTAAGATGTAATAGTTTTTATTAATATATTTCGGGAACTTTTGGATTGCACCATGTCAGTTACTAAAATGTGAATTGGGATGATCTGGTTGGGGATGGGGTCACATGGGAGCTTTAATAGTCAGTGGTGAACCTCTTAAGTTTCATGATAGCAAGTGTATTTCTTGTATCATCAGATTGACTTGTATTTCTCGTATTAAACTGATGGTCAAAGACCCTGTGACTTGGAGTTAGTCTTCAGTTTGCCTCATCTGGAACTGTGTTGTACTTATTATAGTGTCTCTTGACCGGAAGTTGTTGTTTTGTATTCACAGATGGCGTCCAAGTCTCCACTGTTCTTACAGCTTACAGCTCCACGTTCTCAAGGCTTTACTGCAGTTGTCCTGACTTACGATCGTGTGGAGAGTCTTTTCTCACTCATTCAGAAGCTGGTCAAGGCTCCAAGCCTCAGCAAAGTTCTTGTAGTGTGGAACAATCAGCGTAAGGCACCGCCACACCGTGAGTGGAGTTCTTGTTACAGAAATTTGTACAGTGAAATTGTCAGTGTTGAACAAAAGTTTTTAATATCACACTGAAGAGTATCCATTTTAGTTTATCTAACGCTAGAGAAAAGAGAGGTAGATCCACAGAAAGTGAATTAAAAAGAAGGGAAGTCGTCAGCTTGGAGACAGTGAATGTGGATCAGAATAATTGCAAATGGCTTCCAGTCTTGTTTGGTATAAAGACCATCGAAATTCAACTGGAAATCTTATTTCAGCAATTCCCCCAAGGTCTATTATCATATGTATGTGCAAGCAAACATCAAACTGGCTTTTGTGTGTAAGATGATATCTTATTGAATGATCTATCAAGGCTGTTTGATGATTATCACCATCTGTCAGAGATCAAGAGTACCTTTGTTTTCTGTGAGCAGAAACAAACAAAGAAAGGTATATCAAATAGGCTTTTATATACACAGTGCCCTGCCACATACTGGCAAGACTTCATGTGCATACTCTGTAGACATTTGAAGAAGAAAATTTTCTGTAAATAAAAATTAATCACCGTTAGCAAGTTAAGTGCTCTAGTATTGTGTAGAACTGAATAGAAATCAATTTTCCTTTGAACTTGTGTCATTATCAGCTTCAGAGTTTACAACTAAATTATCATGAACTTCACTAATGAATTATTACCAGTGTAAATGCTTTAGTGTGAATCTCTGATATTCAGAGAACATGCCGATATCCTGATACAGTGATTGCATTACGAGCCGAAGAACGAAATGCATTGGCATTTGCATTGGCATTTGCATTTGCATTGTGTACAAATGTGAAAGGGATTTGACTAACTTTTTGCACAATGAAGAACAACCAGACCCCTCAAATACAATAACCAGTATAGCGGTTCTGGCATGCACACTATACTAGTGCTAAGAGATAATGGTGTTGAATCAGAGTATTGTGTATAGGATGTTTTTCTGTTACAAATGCCCTGTAGAATATGCTTAAGAAATCAGGCCATATGGTGAAATTCTTTCCTTTCTCTTCGTTGTACCCTGTATTTATTCCATTGTTGTGTTCTGTAGCATCAATGTGGCCTAAAATTGGCAAACCATTGAAGGTGATACAAACTAAAGAAAACAAACTGTCAAACCGCTTCTACCCATATGAGGAGATTGAGACGGAGGCCATACTTACAATTGATGATGATATTGTGATGCTGACAGCTGATGAGCTTGAGTTTGGATATGAGGTGTGTGTGTTTCTAACATTATTACTTAGCATATTCTTATGGTATAGTAGGATTTATTTCCAGGAAAGTGCTGTCTGAAATCTACTTTCATCCTATAGAAGCATAGCAGGTTTCTTCTAAAGTTTTTCCTTTAAAATCCAAAAAATCTTACAGTCCTAGACATAAAATATAGCAGAATACTTGAACTGGAAAATTTTAATATTTTATCTTCAGAAACATGACATTAATAATGTGTGTATGTGATCTTAATTTGTAAAATAATTAGAGAATATTTTTCNAGTTGTTAATCTATTGTGCGTCCCCCTTTAATTATTCTACCAGTTGCCATGCCCTTCCAGTACTGGTGCTTGCTATCAGGCCCGTTCTGCCAGCGAGGTCGGCCCTCTCTGGCAGTGGTCCCCGATACTTCCCCATCTACCGGAGGATTTGGAAACTACTTGGGCAGGAAACTTTGCCTAATTTTGCTCAGAGGTCTCCTAGAGACATGAGGATCTTTTACATGCTGTAAATCTACGACACGGGACACACGGCTTAAAGTCCCTCCCGGAGGACTTGTTCTCTGAATTTTTCTGCCCTTAAAAATTCCATGACTTCTGCCGGGTTTGAACCCGCGTACCTTGAGTCATGAGGTGGGAATGTTACCCCTAGACTACGGAGGCCGCTTAAATGGACTAACCAATGGGTATGGAGCTGCAAGTGTGGGCTAAGGCTGTGATAACTCTTTGGTACTTAACAGTACAGTAAAGCCAGAGTTAAAATGAACTGTGGCTGGTAGCAACAAATTTTCAGACATGATTGCCATACTAGGACCATGTTTAAATTTAGGGACAAAGAATTGTCCTCGCAGAGGCTGGCCTACCAAGACCAGATTACTGGCTGATGACATTTTAAGTGACTTTATGACAATATAGCTCATTAAATAAAAAATAGTAGGCTAGAGAATTTTTTAGGTTATCTACATCATTGATGATTGATTGTGCTGCCGTTCTTTCTTTCCGTTGTTCACGTCTGTAACTACTTAGTTAGACGTCACGCTGCAGTCGTTCTCTCTTCCGTTATTATTGGGCGCGCGAAGTATGAGAACTCACCTTAAGTTTATTTAGCATGAGAAACCGTCTCAGGGTCTTGACGGGCCTCGCTTGGACAGGAACACTTTAAATTTTAACTGGAGCACTCGGCTTATAAAAAATTCATTTATTATTGCAATTGTTACTTTACACTGTTTGACACTTTAAAGTAGGTAAGTATGTACGTAGCTTCATAGTTTTACTTATTTTGTGGCAATTGACTAATTAGGTTGCCTTAATTTAACACGGGGAAGTTATTACTTGTGGCCCGTATGACGTCGCGCACTGGTCTGGCAGTCGCACCCGAGGGAGGCCCCTCTTTGAACAAAAACATACATAGACGCTACCATTGGCTAAGCCTATCAATATACTCGCGGTACCAAGAAATCATTTATCTCTCTCTACCTCGAAATTAGCAAACATCACAAACCAAACCGGTAAAGGCAGCCTCCCAGATGCAGCTCCGACCTGTATACTACGTCTCACAATTCCATTATAATGAAGGCTTTAAATTCGGTACATAAAACGGCCACAATTGAATATAACTTGAAGTTACAGTACCAAAAGCACATGGACTCACCATTGAGAGGCAGTGAGGCTCAGTCAGTGTGGTGACTATGCTATGGGTTGGATTACTGGAGGATTAGGATTCGATTCCTGACCAGGGCAGAGATTTATCTGAATAGGTCTGACTTCTGGGATGTAATGCCATATAGTCCTCTGAAAGTGAACAGACTACACAACATTAAATCCCAGAAGCTCTTCAGAACCACCACTGTAAGAATATCAAATTCTACAGAGATGTATCTCTTCTCCTCCATGTCCAGACTGGCTCAGGGGCCCACCCAGCCTCCTATCTGGGGCATAATACAGCCAGAACATGGAGGTGAACGCTCACTTCCATCTACTGTCTTGATTAAGAATGCATGCAGCTGTATTTCCACTTCCCCATACATCTTCATGGTGTGATGCTCAGTAAAGTACAATGGCTGCTTCAACTTTTTACTTCTATACAAACACACACCCATGGATCATATCCTAGCTTTTTCAGTCCATTTCACATCTTCAGAACTTTGTTTCATATTACATTGTCCTTCCAGTTCCTCATTGATTGAATTGACCATGATCCAAGATGTTTACTGGCCAGCATATAATATATTAAGTATGTGTTTAGCCCTGGTGAGCTAAATTACCAGACTGTTTTGTATACGTGATGATCTCAAAATTGCAAAAATTAATTCATGCTGTTACTTGTGTGTTCATGTTTGAATTTATTACTCTGGGCTGAACTACCCAGTGGATTCCTGCAGTGTCATGTGGCTCAACTTGCTTCCGTACTTACTGGTCCATTGATTTACAGTGATAAATATGCAAGCGATTATTTGTTTGGTGGTCCATGGTGCAGGTTTGGCGAGAGTTTCCGGATCGCATTGTAGGATTTCCATCCCGAACTCATGTCTGGGATAATGCCACTCAGCAATGGAAGTATGAATCAGAGTGGACCAATCAGATCTCAATGGTGCTTACAGGAGCTGCATTTCACCACAAGGTACATCTTATGACATTAGAATCATTTTGTGTTTCGGGGGAAAAATGTGTTAGTAATGATTATGCTGCCGGTCACAGTAGCCGAGCAGTCTAAGGCGTGCACTGTCTTCGCTTGCTTGGAATCGGGGATCGTGGGTTCGAATCACACTCAGGGCATGGATGTTTGTGTGCGTTTTTCTGTGTTTGTGTACAGGTAGAGGCCTTGCGACGAGCTGATCACCCGCCAAAGGAGTCCTAGCGTATGTCTAAGATATAGAAAAACTGAAGTGAACAGAGAAGTTCATGGAGGTAGGCCTAGGCCCACTGGGGCTGTAGTGCCAAGGAAAAAAAAATTATTATGCCAATTTTTTTCCTTTAACAACCAGAGGTTCTTTTCCAAAGTACTTTATTCTGAATAAAAAAGGTTGCTGGAATGGAGTTGTCTCAGGTAAGTCTGCTATACTATCTGACTCCATTTCATAATTGTGACAAAATTATCAGAAAATTGGTGTATAGGGTCACTAAAATTGCAGTTTTCTTTATTCTTAAGCTTCGTTTTGCATCATATTTTCACAGTTTTAGTGACTATAGATGGGATTTGGATCAGTAATTGGATTTATTGTACTCTTACAACTCATAACTACAAGTAAGGACTGTGTTCTCACTGTGTTCTGCACATTTCACAAATCACTATAGGACACGCCAGCTCACTAGCTGTTGCTTGGTATGAGATCCAGCAGTGAACATGGTGCTTCCTCTGGGTTCCCGAACTCTTCCAAGCCTCAGCTACTAGCAACAGCTCACAATAGAACCCCAATGGTTATCTAACTGATGGATAACGTGTCCTGCTCATAACATCTCGGCACAGACCATGTATGAAACACTGTTCCTTTGTTGCAATGTAATTGTTCCTTAGCGATGGCATGACATATTCCATTGTGTGCACAGTCGTAGGGATGGACTGCACATAAAACGCAATTTCTCTGTTGTTTACGGGCCGCTGCCAAGTATTAGCCGGCTATTGTGACTTCACACTTCTTGCTTTGAGTGAACATGCTACAATATGTTATGGAGAATCTTATTCAGGTATTATTTTGGTCCATCTCTGACATACTGTGAACACTTCCAGTTATGATACTGTCTAGTCCTGTAGGTGGATATTGATCCTTTATCTTCTGGTTGAAATAAGCTTAGGCTAAAGATGCAGTTCAGTTAGATAGGCAGGCAGCAGGGAAGGTGGTTACTTGGATCCACAGGAGGGGAGATGAGGCAGAATCCAATCCTGGCACTAGGAATGCAGATGAAACATGACACTGTGTCAGCTCACAAGCTCACAGTTTAAATAACCAGTGCAATAAGAACCTCAGAACTTATACTATAATCAGTATTTTCAAGGATTTTTTTTTTTTGAGTTACAAAGTCTCATAAAATTTAGAAGTTTTTTTGTGTGTATGATTCGTAAGTGTATGTATAAAGTACTTAAAGATACTTGTAACATTTTTAGTATTGGAGCTACCTCTACACTACATCAATGCCAGGGAATATTAAAGAATGGGTGGACGAGCATATGAACTGCGAGGACATCGCAATGAACTTCCTTGTCGCAAATGTCACTAGCAAGGCTCCAATTAAAGTGAGTAATCAAATGCAGTGAACTCCCAGTTATCTTATTATCAAGCATCTAGAATTCTTATCCAGTCAGCAACAATTTCAAATAAGATTTTCAGTTTGTATATATAAAGTTATTCAGAAACAAATTTGCCATGTGGGTATATTCACCTGCCAGATGGTGGTTCTCTCACCCACCACTACCACGCATACCCATTCTTACACAGGTGACATAGAAGAGGCTAGTTGAATTTGTAATCATGTTACAATATAATATATCTGAAATCTTTCATCCACGAGTCCACTTTGTTGCCTAGGAAGGCTCACTCAGGAACTAAAGCAAAACTTTGTTGTTTTGACTTTGAATTGGGTTTCTGTAAGAGTTTTTCTCATGTAACTACTGAACCCAATTCCCCATTTGTACCATATATCGGGGATTTATTGTGTAACTGTTATAAAATAAATGTACTGAACAAGAAATTCTAAATGGGTAAGACTGAAGTGTACAAATAGAATGTGCCATAAACAACAAATAGTTTCCAGGACACTGTTTTATTATTCCACTTTGCAGCTGTAATTTAAGTCCGGGCTCCAGTATTTATTTGGAAAAGAAAACATTTACCCTTGTTTTTAACAGTGGTGTTTTAATTAGATGTGTGAGTCTTGAATTGTCAAGAATGAATTGAGAAACAAATATCCTTATTAGAACGTTGATTTTTGAGTCCCAGATTTGAAGAATTTTCAGATACCTTCTTTTGTTTTGTGCAATAGCATGCAAACTACCTGATTATCAGCACTGTAATGTTGGCAATGCTATGCCAAACAGCACCTTTCTTCATTTCTTTGCAGGGCATCAGTGTCTGAAATGAAAGGAGATGGGTAGCACACTTAAGTTCAATATGAAAAAGTGGGTACTGTTGGGAATTGTGATTACAATAAAAAAAATTTGGTCTGAAGTAGAAAATTCTCATTCTCATCCTGATTCTTAAAATTTGTTCAGATTATTGTCTTGAACTGAAAGTCTGTTTCCTGCATATCTAGTTTTAATACAGTGTCTCTTACCGGATTAAAATGACTGCATTAAAATAAATAATTCTTGCATTTAATATCTGCAATGAAATTTTGTAGGTAACACCAAGAAAGAAGTTCAAGTGTCCAGAGTGTACCAACACTGAAATGCTGTCATCTGATTTGAATCACATGATGGAGAGGTCACAGTGTATTGACAGATTTTCCTCTATCTATGGTTCAATGCCTCTCCAAACAGTGGAGTTCCGTGCTGATCCAGTTCTCTACAAAGACAGCTTCCCAGAGAAACTTAAAAGATTCAACGATATAGGAAGTTTATAGGACCTCATTTCAGTAACTTACTTGTTGAAACTGTTCACATTTTGTTACTCTAAGCTATGGCTAGATGTGACTACACCACAATATGCTGCTTAATGTTATATGATTAATAATAGCCTGTAGTTGCATTGGTTAAATAGTCCAGTCAAAAGAAACACCGGTTTTTGTTTTAGTAAGTGAAGTATACAGTAGGAGCCAGGATAGCTGATTTGGTATTGTGACTAAGCTACAGGCTGGGTCACTGAGGAATCTGGGTGCAGTTGCTGATAGGGGCAAGAGATTGTCTCTTCTCTGCAGCAGTCCAACCAGCTCCTAGCCAGTGCCACCAGACTTAAAGTCACTGGGGGCATAAAGTTGATTGCTAATCTCCAGAAACTGCTGAAGAACGCCAGTAGCTGTGCTTCCACTTGTCATAACTGGAGGTATTATGAGCAAGAGGGGTACGGGGTGAATGTTCTGTGTTGTTTGCCAAGAAATCAGTTCTTGCTCATGGAGGGTGTTGTTTTCCTCACTTCAGCCACTCAAATTACAGGATAGCACTTGCCTTGTTTTTCTTGTGTTGTAAGTGGCTTAGTGACAGACTGGAGTGCATCTCAGAACTGGCCACTGGTATGTGTGAACATATTTTATAGTAAATAAAATCTAAAAGTTCCTGATGGTGGTATATTAATACAGTGATCGAATCTTTGGACATTATCCATCGTCCTGTTTTTGTTTAATGTGACATTTTAGAGGCTGAAGATAAGGGCTATCCTTGTAGTATGGGCTCAGCTAAGTAGGCTTTTTACCTGAGAATGGAGAGAGAAGTCTGAAATATCTATTTTAATGAAAATAGAATGATGGATGATGTCATAAAAGTCAGTAGTATTTTGTAAGAAACCGGGGTCTACCTATTTTTATGAGGCTTATTTTGATAGAACAGTCAGTATAGCAACTGGCTATGGACTGGATTCTTGAGGTGTCAGAGTTTGAGTCCCGATAGAGGCAAGATTTTCCTGTTTTCCACATCCTGCAGACTGGTTCTGGGGCTCAACCATCCTCATATTCAATGGGTACTGGGGGTTCTTTCCCAAGGGGTAAAGCAGCCAGGGTGTGAAGCTGACAGCTCACCTCCAGCTAGTGCCAAAGGTCAAGAATGCATGGATCACTACGTCCACACTCCCATACACCATCATGATGTAGTTCTTAATTAGTTAAGCACAAGGACAACTTTACCTTATGAGGCCTGTTCAGATGAATAAAGCTTATACTTCACATGATGCTAAGACATAACCTGCAGTTTAGAGTAGCAGATCTCTGACACTGCATGTGAGTTTTCAGTGTAACACTTTGTGGTCTTCTGGGCTATGGCATTCTGCAGTAACGCATGTGGATACTGATGTTACGTTAGAAGGCCACAGTCTGAGTTCTGGCCATCTTGAAGACCCAGAAATTTATGTACTATTATCTAATAGATATATCTTCAAAATATATCAACAAATAATAGTGTTTGAAAAGAATAAATAGTGTGATGTATGTTAAAGTGTTAATAATGTACACATAATGTATGCAACTGTAATGTAATTTTTGTATTAATGCGTTGTTGTACTAATATTTATTAGTTCCATTTTATATATAGTATATAAAAGATCTGTTATTTAAGTAAAGATAGTTCTGTTTACTTTAAAAGTTCCAAGAATTCATGTTATGGGGTTGGGTATTCACAGGGCGAGCTGGAAAGCGTTACCTTGCCTCCAGACAGAAGTTAGCAAGATTTGGTGAGGACAATGAAAAATGTGTCTTTCTCTGACTGTATGTTCCAGATGCAGTAAGAGTGTCATGGGAGAGGTGAGAAGGATTGTTTGTGAAGGTGGTAGGGCTGAAATGGATTTGTAAATGTATGAATACTGACCAACTGACGGACCATCACATCATTCCCCATTGAGAGGAACAGAGACAGTCTCTGCAACTTTTGCTGAAAATATATGCAGCTGGTCACCTGAGAAGATTTTAATGCAGGATTTTTCCTTAATAGTTTTCCAAGGTCTCCTGAAGATATTTTTGAGCAAGAAAGCACCTTGCAGTTGGGGTTAGCTCTTTTTTATCCTGCCTCCATATCATGGTACACACTGATTGTCTCATGTTGAATTCAGCGCTGCATGTTATTTGGATAGTAAATTTAATTTTGATTAAATCTAGATTGTGCAGAATAAATTAATTCAGAATGTCCAGAGGGTAACCATTCATTCTTTGAATGTTATTCTCAAAGAGTTTATGAATAGTACTGTCTTCTGGGATATAACGCTGTGTAGTCTGTTATAATCGATGCTTCTGGAGACATCTACTGCCTCATGGCATGTATAATATGCCAAAATCAGGTTAAAAGTACTACAACTTTTGCCCTTCCTAGGCTTCGGCAGTGACCAAGGGTACTTAGCCAAGAACGCTCCTAGTTCTAATTCTTGGTTGTCAACTGACAATATAAAACCTGCACGGAAAATTTCCCTGTTATATACATTTTCTAAGTATCCAGGTTACATCTATCACAGATGTTTGCATCACACATAATTTATCAAAATGAAACCCACAGATAGTTTACAATTGTCAGACTAAATAGGCAATTAGTAATAACTGTAAAGGTTTGTAAACTTAATAGTGTCACTTCTTTACACGGGTGTCGACTGCCACGCTATTTTCTGCCATTAACATAAATATATAGTTTCAGTCTATTTTAGGAGAGGAGGGTGGGTTACAACTATTTTTAGGGACAATATGATATTCATCCCCTACTTGGTTATTTTAATCGCGCAGTCATCATTATGTTCGCAAATTCAGAAGGAAGTGAAGTCCGTATCTGTCAACCACAAGTATTGGCCCGAAAGGGTGGATCTTTGTTTACCATATTAGGAGAAGTTTACCTAATTTGGCAACAGCGACTTCTAAATATGGAAGTGGGGCCGTCCTTAGAGCGGGCATTATATCACTCCGCCATTAAGGATTATAGTAAATATTTTTTAAAATATGCAATTTGAGGGATAGAAACGGATCATAAAATTTATGTCGTCATTTTAAGGCGCAGTATGCACTATAATGGATTATTATTGCGTATAAATTTCATTTATGTTCGCGAGGAACTATATTCTTGCTGTAACTCATCGTGCCAGTTGCTCGGCAGTGAAGCACGTAGGTCAAATTACGAACAGTCGTGGTTTGGTGATGGTGCCGCTGCCGTGGTGTCTATGTGATTTGGTGTTTCATGCGTTACATGGAAGATACTTGAGCGGTTCTTACGGTATTGCTTATACAGTGATGAAATAGTAAATCAGTGCTGTGCAGTGATGGATACCCCCACAGGCGGGGGAAGAGATTCCCGATTTAATATCGGTTACAATATGTCGCTTATAAGTGGTGAAACCTCGTCAGAAATTTATGCTACTACAGGCCATAGTAGACCTTCAACCTCATTAAGTTCTGGTGGAGTGTCAAGGCCTTCCATGTTACCAAGTACTTGTGGGGCAGGCATTCAACGTGTTGGGGTCAAAAGAACGTCTTCTGATGTGTGTTTTGACCAGGAAGTGTCAGGTAGACCAAGCATGGCATCGCAAAGTGGGATGGGCATGGCAGAGTGTGGATCAGATATAGGGGATGATAGTTTCTCACAAGCACAGAAAAAGACACCACCACCTAATGGTAAAAAGACAAAAGGCCGTGTTAAAATTAAAATGGAATATATTGACAATAAACTGAGAAGATACACAACATTTTCAAAGCGGAAAACCGGAATAATGAAAAAGGTACGTCACGTGGAGGAATGTTAGCTCTTAAGCCAATAAAAGTAGCAGGAAGTGGTGTGGGCTGTCACACCTGTGGTGTTAGTTAATGTTTTAGATGCTCTCTGACATTTATTCACGTGTGCGTTAATGCCTTTAATATAACATTTTCAAAAGCAGTGTCTGCATCACAGTTTAGTGCTATAACCGCCTGAACAAACATTTTTAATCCTTTATAACAAGTTTGACGTTCAGTGATCCTTGCGGGAGCTTCGTTCCTTCCCCTTGGTTTTCTTTTTACACATATGCAGCTAGTGGAATTCTCATTTTAATTTGCATAGGACAACAGAGACTGTCCGTATGTGATCCTTATATTACGTGGTTGCTAAGAAATTGGTTTGGGGAATCGTAAGAGTTTGGAGACAGACGAATCCTTTAATGGCTCATTTCAGTAAGATTACCATTATTTTTTAAACTGAGAATCGTATATGAATTGAACCTTAATTGTAAATACGGAAGTCAATTTTTTCTCAATTCAGTCGCTCTTGCTACGTACCGGTAAAGGAATTTTGAAAAAGATAGTATAAAATACGGTGACAAATTTGATACGCGTATTTTGTTCGAAGTATTTGCACAGTTTACCGAGAGATGTCGGTAGTTATACTACATGGAGCCCCGTACGAATGTGCTACGGAAGCCCGGATGGGTATTGCCTAGGCCATTTATGTATACACATATGTTTTTTTTTTAAATAAAAAAAAGCAGTTTGCTGTGCTCGGAAAGCAATAAGCAGCTAGTCAAGAAATTCATATCCTTGCCAAACACGAAGGTTCATTATCACGTTCACAAGATACCATCATTGGAATTGCTCTTGAGCTAGATTACTTCGTTTCACATCAACACACTGTTTCTGTGATATCAATTTTAATAATATCCTCCCATCTAGTCCCGATTTTCCCAAATTATTAATTTCAGCCTGATTATACAAAATAAGCGAATATTATCATTCTCAAAGTTTATAGAAAGTCTGTCGAGTGTAACAATTTGTAGGTCACTTTTTATTATTATTTCTGCCTTACATGTTTCGGTTTGACACAACCATCATCAGAGGCACTTGCTATAATTATGGAAACACTGTCGCTTTTTTTGATGTTCACAATTATGTTTGTCGTGTGGACGCTACTACGATATGTTGACGTGTAAAAGCACAAAACATGCTAAGATAGTTGAGTACACTCTCAAGTTCTCACTTTTCATCCGAACCTATTTTTAAGTTAAAACGCTAAAATGTTAAATTATTTGATATAAAATGCTGAACTCCTCCTTGTTAATTCATCCCGAAGATGGGAGACGTCAGCTTGAGGTTGTATGGCTTATGGTTTGATATGTTCCTGTGTGCTGTGTGCTGTTTGTGATTGATAGTGTAGCGGACCAAAATGAAACAATTCAAAATTATCATTCTTTTATATTTCTTGTATACATTTGTTCTTCTAGTTTGCTTTAATGTAATGCAATTTCTGCAGCTCCACTTCCTTGTGTAGCGTGATGCCATTTAATATGGTAATTCAGCGTTTCAGAGGAACACTGCCTCCATCACAATAATTCCTTTATGTTATATTTATTTTTTCTTGTTAGCATGATGACAAACTCTGTAAGGAGTTCAGTGGTTGTTGTTCTCGTGAGGCTCAAGTAGCTTACATGGTTACATTAATTTAGTTATTTTACTTGCACCACTGTTACACAGAATTGGTATCTGAAGGAACCTTGTATACAGTAGGAGAAACATGACATTTGTTGTCGTCTGGGGCAGTGGATGTTGTATGAAGTTGAAATCAGAAGCCGGGACTGTACTTTCTGAATGCTGTGTTGGATGTATTGTTGTGCCTCTGTCTGTGTTTTGTAAGTCAGTCATGCGCCCTGTGGGCAGAATGCAAAGTTTAAGAGGCTTGTTATTAGTAGACAGTGGCTGAAATACATTTCTTGTACACTTAATTACACATGCCTGCACCACAGTCAACAGACATGAACCCATCCCGCTTGACGCTCTGTCCTTCCTACATGATTCTTGCTGGTTGTTATCTTGACTTACTCTTCAGCCCTCAAGATGGAGGCAGTATGTTATTCTGAAATGTCAGACTATACAGGATCACATCCTGCAAATATTTTTCATGGTCACTGTTGTGAGAGCCACAAATTCAGCCTTGTGCCACCTGTAATGCAGATATTATGTTTCTCTGTGCCCCTGTACCACTGGTATTGCACATACCACAATTTGAGGTCCTCTAAGCTGTGGTATAACATGAAGGCTTAAGAATATAGGCTTTGTCATCAACTTTTGAGATTATAGTACAGTAGATATTTAGTGTAAAGAATATTTCTGACAATCATAGCCTTCAGTGAGAATGCTTTATGTTATGTAATATTTGAGGGTCTTGTGGTGGTGAGGAGCCAGAACTACATGGAATCATACCCCAGAAGACCTTAAGCTTGTACTTATTTTAGCAATTTTTATATATAGTGACCTACTGCTATGAAAGTGAATTTCAAGAATATATGGAAGCACAGTTCTTGAGCGTAGATAGTTTAACTGATAGGCTCTTTGAGTGATTTTTATCTTTGCCCTTAGAGAGTTCTTTATTGTTGTTGTTTTTTAGTTCTGACGGGTTGTGGAATATTGGAGCATTAATTCAATAATTTCATGACTTATACAACTTAATTTCTATCAACGGTAAATCCTTGAGAATGAAAGGTTATGGTCATCTGGGCTGTGATCCCATCGAATGAAAATGGAAACAGAATACTCCTCTGAAATATTGGTACCGCTCTGCCAAACTTCACTGCGTTATATGCCCTTAAATCTGGCATGTCTTTGACATTTTTAAACTTAATTGTAAGGAAGATGTTTACATATACATTGGGTGGGAGATGGAATAGCTGTGTCACTATAGTGACGGGCTGTGGGCTGGATGGATGGATACAGGACTGAAAAGGCACCAGCCTAGTCACACATGCGTAGATGAAATGGCATGGAAGTGTAACTTAGATAAGTAGATCAGGAAGAAGTGAAGTGAATAGAACTGATTTAGTATATGGCCCTTTATGGTGACAGTAATGAGCCTCCAGGTTTCATAACATGTGGGAATGTCATGATTAACTTAATAGCTAATGAGTGCTGAAGGAAAGTGTTGTAGTGTGAATTTGTTCTAGTTAACTCTCAGAAGCCTGTAGCTCATCTGAGTAATATTTAAAGAAATCAGTTCCTACCTCACAGGGAACACCCACCGTCTCCTTTGCAGGGACTAGGTAACGATATTTAGAAAAACAATGACAGTTTGTTATAAGAATCATATGAAACACATACTACATACACCACATGGGCAGAATGTAGAGTCTTTTAAAGTAAAATTAGGTGGTATATACAAGGTGCTACAATTTAATTCCCGGAATGGCCCTTTCTAAGCAAAATTTGCTCACCTGTACACTGGCGGCTGCTGTCGCCTTCGAAATACTCTCCTTGTGAAGCTACGCACTTCGTGAGACGTTGGTGTCACTGCCGGAAACAGTCTTGAAAATCATTTTCCGGAATACCTCGCAGTTACGTCACGTTGCGTTGGAATGTCAGCAAATCTTTGTCCCTTCAAGACATTTTTTGTAATTTTGGAAAGAGCCAACAACCGCAGGGGCTAAGTCATGTGGATAAGGTGGATGGTTCATTTTTATAATGGATTTCTTAGTCAGGAACTCGCGAACTCTTAACGCATCATGCGCAGGGACATTGTCATGGTGAGAATCCACTCGTCAGGTCTGAGATCGGGTCTTTTCCTCCGAACAGATTCCCATAACCCTGTCAGCACTTTTAAATAACACTGTTGATTCACGGTTTGTCCTTGTGCAATGAATTCATAGTGAAATATCCCCTTGTGATCGAAGAAACATACAAGCATGGTCTTGAACTGCGAACGAAAAATGGCGTGCTTTTTTTTCGGCCGGGGTGAATACTGTGTTTTCCAACTGCGTGCTCTGGCGCTTTGTTCCGCGTCGTATTGACAACACCACATTTCATCGCCGGTAAAGACCTTATGAGACATCTCTGCATTGCGTAAAAGAACAGATGAAATGTGAAGCGGACGTTTCTGGCCTTCTGTCAAGATTCGAAGCACCATCTTTGCGGAAAATGTTCTCATTCCCAAATCATCCGCAATAATTCGTCTCACTGTTTTCATATTCATATTCAGTTCTGCTGTTGGTCTCACGCCTGATCTTCTGATCGTACCAAAGTTCGTGCTCTGTCCACAATTGCATCTGTCCTTTGCGATTTGGTCTCTCGCTTCTTAGGTCATCTTACACATCTCGCCCTTCCGTGAACCGCATATGCCGTTCAAAGACACTCGATTTCTTCATAGCGTACTCACCAGTCTTCACACAAAACTTGATGTTTATCCGCTGCTCCAGATTCTCGCCACTCAGTTATCCGCCAACAGCGCACCAGGGACACGTGCTGCTTCCTCTGCTGCTTGGGAACGAACGGTTCATCATCGTCTTCCACTATCATTTAACCCTGGACAATCTCTGCAGTTGCCTACGTAACTTCCTTCTTTGAAAGACTGATGGCTATCTCACCTGGCCAAGAATTTATTTGCTTGTTTTGAACCCTGTTCACGAAAACCCTCTTGTACCCTGTCCTGAGTGAATTGAATGCTCCACTTCCCAGATAGCAGTTTTAAGATTATGATCCCATCCATGCCAGACATCCTGCATGGTTTCTTTGCTCGAGGTTTTCCAGCCAAGACTTTGTATTAAATTCTTATCACTTCATTTATGCTACGTGTTCTGTCCATCCAGTCCTCTCTGATGTAATCACACAAACAGTATTAAAAGAACAGTAAAAACAAAAGAGGTAAAGCTATCCCTGTAACAGGCCGTGGATGCCCATGGGGTGTGAGACGTTGAGGCTCTCACATTTTATAGACATTGGGCTCACAGAGGGCTGTGAGATTGTCAGTCTTACGCGCCGGCCGTCCTTT